TTTTTGCGCTTGTTCCAGCAGTAAAAATATCGGCCTCATATTCCTTTTAATAGATTTTCCAAATATTTTTACCACACAGACGGGCATGGAGGAGTGGAAAGTAGCACTACTGTTGTGCAGCGTATCGAAGGTCCGACTCCGCTGGTACAAAAGCCAATCCTTCAACGAATCGTCCATTTCGTTGGTAAATTGGTACTGGCATATTTGCCAGAGTGTCAAATCCATCATCAATTTGCTTGTAAGTTAACCTCGAAAGAAAAGAATCGTCGACGACATCTTTGCCGACGAGTGGCCAGGCATTTGCTATCAGTTGGGCTATTTCCTATGTGCCTTGAGCCTAGGTCGCAAGAGCGAACAGGAAGGGGATTCTCAAATCGAATTTTTTTACTGAATTTGTCCACGTATTTTTACCGCGCTTTGTTCCAGTCTGACTTCATTGGCAGTTTATTTTTTAGCCGAAGCTAACGTCCTGCGTATTTAAGAGATTTTTGTCCGGTTACACGTCTAAGCTTTTTACAGTTTGCTTGGAAATGGTACCCCAAGAACGTCAAAATATGCGTTTTTGCATTTGCATTTATCTAAAAACACATAAAAAAAAAAGATTTTGATCTAATTGTTATGTGCATGCATACCTACAAATATAGATGTATTCATTCATATAAGCATACCTACACATACAAATATGCATACATACACATACATATATATACATGCACATACATACATACACACAGATGCCCACACATACACGCATACGTGTGCATACTTCTGAAAACGTTGAGCTATTTGAAAGAATTAAAAAATGAGCCATCGGTCTGGTTGAAAAAGTATCTATTCTATTTTTAATGCTAAAAAAGTGTTGCGCTGACATGGCGAGCCGGACATTCGCTCTGTCAGTCTATCAGCTGATTATACAAGGACAACTAATGCACTGTGATAATAAAAACGAAACCATTCTGTGGATTTGAGGCGGGCTATGCTCATATTCTGTTCAGTTTTATTTTTGTCCGCATTACTTTTCATGCTTTGCTCGTGAAAATTCATTTCATTTCTAAATAATTTTATTTTTTTTTTGCTAATATTTTATAACTCATTGGCGGAGGTACTGGGGAGCAAAATCATATGCATCTTTACTGACGAGATCCAGTTGCAGTGTTGAATTATGACTTGCTGAGCCAAAACGACTTGTCTCATCTATTTCTTCGCCTCTTCGTTCCTCTTTTCCGTATACTTTGCTCGTGGAAATTTATTCAGTTTTTAAAAAGGTCTTTTACTCTTACTACAAACAGTTTATTACCCGAATGGCAGAGGAATTAAACCAAATTTTGGCATTATTGTCGTTTTGATCATCGTACCATCCATGATGATGATCGAGTTGCAGTGCGGAGTTAAAACTTGTTCGCAACTTAAAAGACCGAAACGTCTTATCTTATTCTTTCTTAACTTCTTCAGCCCCTTCAGCCCTCTCTTCATTTTTTTTCCGTCCATTTCGAACCTATTGTAGCATCTTACATGTAAGTAAATAAATAATTTACCACCAAATCTATGAATACTCCTCCCCTTGGGGGGTCAGTGTGGGTTTCCAATGTTAGTGATGTTACTGGACTGCTTCCTTACGCCGCGCTCAGCTGAAAAGCCAATAAATAGAAGCTGACAAAAAAAAGAGATCAAGTTTATTCAAATGCAGACTAGTATTATAAATTGTTAGCTAAATAATCTACAAAATCTAATTTCCTGTTCCTAATTAACGAAAGTGCAATGAGAACACTGTTGGAAAGCTATAATTATGTTTTGTGTGTACTTTTTTTGCGATCACTTGCTGTATGCTCATTTCAGGTAAGCAGCAAAAGCGTGATTTCCTGGATCCTAAGATGCGCATTCTTATTTACCGCACTGAAATTTTACAGGCTCCTAAACCGAAGCGATGACGAAGCGACGCAGTAGTCTCAGCCAACCGGAATTTCGATCTAGAAACGACAGCCAGTGCAGCGCTCTGCGTCGAAAAAGCATTACCGAAGAATATCCGAGGCCATCAGTGCTTGGCGGACGCAAGTTTTGATTCCATTTCGTTTTTGTTTAATCAGCTTTTTCCCGTACTTTTTTGTAAATTCTGCAACATACACTTGCTCAATATCTGTTTTATTAGTGACAATTTCCTGCATTTCGTTAGTTGAGGCAATCAAAAAAAGGCGGAATGTGGAGATGCGAAGCAACAAGTTTGCAGTCGACTGTCTTTTTCCAAAAAATTCAAATTTGCTATTAATATTTCAAAAAGTGCAGGCTAAGAGTGAGTAAATAAGGAAAGCCTTGTTACGGTAGTTTTTCGCTAGGTCCCTTAGGTAATAATATGCAGCTTGTTCGCAGGCAACATTCATATTTTTGCTTCATATGTAAAGACAAGAAATTTTCCAATCCAAATATGGCTGGGAGTGATGCTTTCAAATTTCAGCTTTCTAGCTTTTGCGGCTCTGAATTTGAATTATTGAGAGAGGTAAGTGATTGATAGTCCCGTATTCGCCGACAAACCCAAATAGACTTACTGAAAAGCATATTTGCGATAATTTATGCAAAGTCGCACATAAGTTCTAGATCACATTTCAGAATCTCAATTAAAATAATAAATTTCTTGAGAAAAATTTAGTTTCTGGACTAAAAATTGGTTTTTTTTTTTTTTGTTTCAGATGATCTGCTGCTCGATCCGCTATACAGTCCGCAAACTATACAAATCGGAAATCATCCTGACAGTAAGTTGCTTTTTTACGACGCTTTTCTGGAACTAAAGCAGTATTGCCTAGACAATCACCGTCATAATTAAAACAATTGTGCAATCAATAAAGTTGTGGTAAGGCTTCGAACTCGTTTGGGATATGATGATTTTTTGTTTTTGGAAATTAGCGCTTTTGCTGAATAAGTTTCGTCCCGCTGCCCCAACCAGCTAGCACTTAGTATACTGAAGAGGGAAGGACTGGGCGTGGGAAAAGCAAAGGGGCGAGAAGAGAGGACGAGGAAAAGTGAGAGGAAGAACAAGGAAAGAAAATGTGGAGAAGTAAGACGAAATTTACCTATAAATTGATACTATGAAAAAATTTGAGCAAATTATTATAAAAAAATAATTCAAAAAAAAATTTTAAAAATTTGAAAAACGCATTATTGCTTCAGTTCTGGTTTTGCGAAATAGATTAATTTAGTTCATTATAATTTAACATGCTTAAGAAAATTATAAAAGTCCGGCGAAGTCGTCTTTTTCTTAAACTTAATTTCTTTTTTATTAATTAAAATATGTTTTTAAAATTTATTAATAAAGTTCATCGCCTCGTTCACAATAATTAGATATAGCATCTCAAAGGATGGCATTTGCAAGAAAGAACAAGAAATAGCACAGCCATACAACAAAGCCAGTTGATTACTTGAGTACCTCAAAGCAGCAAAATGTTATCGCGTTCCATCAAAAACGAAGTTTTTGTAACATTGATCCGGGCGGTATTGTTAATGAGCATAAACAGGATCATTCCAATTTCCGCTATGAAACCTTATAGCCTAAAGCAATCGTGTTAATAGTTTTTCATCTACCATCTGGCAATATTCTGTAAAATTATTAAGATTTCATACTAAAATTCAGGCCCAATACACAATGTGCGGCAGGTGCTTGAAGCAAATCCGGAAGAAAACCCGCCTATTTATACAGAAATGCTTGATCTGGACCGAAATAACAAGTCCGGAAGGCACTGGAAGCAAGTAGCGAGGTACAGATGCTTCACATGTTTGTTGTTTTCGTAAAAATAACGAAAAAAAAGTAATTTCAATTTTTTATACCATATAGAAATTTCGAGATTTTGACAAAAATTAGTATAAATTCTCAGTCTAAATTAAGTTTTTTCCAGAACATGCTTACTACAGTAGGTCGAGTACCAAGCAGTTACATATTAGATCGTAAGTGCCCTGTCTAAAGCAGTTACTTATTAGTTAAAAATGTCGGTAGCGCTTTTTTCCGAGGATTGTTTAGAAGCATCACGGAAACGGTTCTGGTTCCTTAGGATGTATTAGTACCGAGTAGCGGGGTTCATGTGATTTCCGGTGCCATTATTCGTTGTTGCGCCGATTCCACGACAACAGAGTCGTTAATAGTATGACGGTCATTAATTTCCGTTTTTATATATCCGTATTTGCGAAGTAACCTGCGATGACGAAGACGGTTGTGTAAACGAGTTTGTATATTTTAGAACAGAGAAGGAGCCAAGGATTTTTCTCCGATCCCTAGCCAAGGGTGATTTGCATAAAACTTCTTGTTGACTGCCGATAGTGTTTGCTTTTGTGAAAGCTTGTAAAAGCAAACTTCAGAGGTCGAAATTCCCTCTATATTCAGCCAGCAGATGAGGCGGAGCGCTCGGAATTAGTCCGACTTTTTTTAGAGCTGCATAAAAGTAAGCTGATGGCGGGTTTGGACTTTATGGCATGTGCCAGTACCAATTTATCGTCGAAACATATGAACAAAGAGTACAGGGGAGGATTAATTGCGTACTGCATCGAACTCTAGTAGCGTCGGATTTTCGACTTTCTGCACGAAAGCAGTGCTGCTCTCGACTGCGAGAAGCTGGCCAGTAGAAGTAAAATATCGCATAGGAACAACTACTTACCTTATTTGGCAATGTTTAAAACTGACTTTTGCAAATGATACTGCATGTAATCAGTTTATTGTATTTTTGTTTCCCAAGCCATTGAATTTTTGAACAAAAAAATTTAATATACAGGTGGATAAAATACGAGCAGTCAGTGGAAGGCGATGGTACTCGGTTTTCAAAGCCACATGTCACTCTGTTATCTGTACTCGGGCTAATACAGCTCAAAAATTGCCTTCGTAAGGGGATCATCTTGTTGGATGTCGAAGCGCAATCCTGCACCGAAATTGCAGGTAACATTGATAATAAAAATCGAAAAAAAATGCTGCAGTAACTGGCCTTTCTGGTAGTGGCATGTAGCGACATGTTTTCAGAAAAATTATGTGCTGCTTGGGTGGACCGAGGTTTGGTGGAAGCGGAAAATGCGGTAGCTGTAAAAGATTTACTGCGTTGTCCAAAATATCATTTGGTTGGCAAGCATATGCGTCCATCCGCGGAGATCGAGAAAGGTTGCAGTTTTATGAACTTTTTGAGTTTTTTTTATGTGTTTATGCAGATGCAGGATGCATGTGGTTAGTTTTCCGTATAAGTCACTCCAACTGAAGCTATGTGATTGGA